CTAATCATCAATGAGATGTTTGTTGATTATTACGTACACTGCTCATGAAGATCTTATAAGAAAGATCTTGGTCAGTTATAAATAGGCTGGGTTATAGCTGGCGATGAGGTGACCTCTACACCTTTTTAATTGCACTATATCATCTAGAAGCCTTTTTTCAAGCTATATATTCTTCAAATTCCATTAGAGATCCTCCTAATGTAGAGTTCAATACAATTAATGCAACATAGGTTCGCAACATTTTTTCCAGTTTAGTAACCTACGTGTATCTGACTCCAGTTCGATCGTATTATGATCGTATGAATGACTTTGATTAATATACACATGCCTACTACCCTCGTATATAATAATCGACTTAGATCGCGTTAGTGAATAATGGAATCAAATAAGTCAAATACGAGGATGGATTCCGAATACGTATATTTCACATAATTGTTGATCTGAACAGACAATCAGGGAAACGAAGTGAAACGCTTAGTAAAGACGTTGTGTAACCGCTTTTCATCATGTATAAAACCTTATTTGGTATTCGCTGTCGGTGTTTTGTAATTCTTAACTTATATTTTGAAATAAATATGTAGACAAAGGGAACATAGGTACGGACAACAGACTGAATTTTACTACAAAATTACAAACTTCTTTCATCAAATGTAAAAACCATACGTTCAATAATTCATTTGCAAATCCTCCATCAACTGTCTCAAACTTTACCGTTTTTTCATTGCCATAATAATCAGTTTTTGTTCCCGTTCTCTTCGATTCGATCCTCCCAACCTTGTACTGACAGTGCTTCCACTTCTGGTTGATGTTATATACTACTTATGTCTACATAAGTAGCATACATTACAAATGTACCATGATAATTTTAATATACAAAGTGCTTTTTGAGTTTATCTCGCTGATACATCTTTATGCTTTAGAATGTTCTACAAATTTCCGATAGAAGATGACTGAATTTTAAGATATTTACTGTATTCTGATTTTATGTTTGTTTATTTTTCTCATTGGTTATGAGCTCGTTCATTCTTCTGCATGAGCTACCAACGAGAAGTAATTAAAATATCGTGGGTAGAATTTTGAAACAATCTTCCTGGTAGTATCATTCACGTAACCTTCTGTACATTAAATTTAGGGATTATTAATTTACCCGGTCTTTCATGGTGATAGTTAGACGAAGTGATAGCGATAGCCTCATTAGTTTACAGATTGAGTTATTTAACTTCAAGTAGACCTGTTGAAGATCACCTGAACTTCTTACTAACATGATAGTTAATTTCAAAATCCTCTGCTGGCTTTTTTATATTCATCTCTTATGTTACTGATGCATGATGTGATTACATCCGTTTTTTCAGTTAGTGCTTAGCTGTGTACACGTTCATCCTCTAATCAAGGTCGACACCGGCATTTGTGTACTCTTGAAATAGTTTCTATTGTGGTGTGTGCTACTGACGTCGACAGATATAAGTAATATGTATCACCAGTTGAAAGTGGAATGCCTAGTGGCAGAAGGTTGAGAAGATGGAATAGTAGAGACCGGGAACAGAGAGTGATTGGCATTGAAACGAAGGAACAATAAAGTCTGAGACAATTGATGGACATTTTGTAAATGAAGTATTTATTGTGTAGTTCTCAAATTTTACTAAAAGATTGTGTTATTTTCTATTCGAATACATTCGATTACCCCCACCTGATTTCTCGTTCATCACACGATCATCAGGAATTCTTTTTAGACTCAATATCTTAGCCGTTTAATTTGTTATATATTTAATTATGAATAGCAAATAATGTTCACAACTGAGTCGGTGTAAAATATGTTTTCTATTCAAACATACTGTCAATGGTTTAAAAACCTGTAGAAAGATTTTCATACTTGCCTTGTGATTTAACTTTATGTTTCAGCCAACCATTATGTCATTTAATGTCTGGGAAAATTAGATATGTTGAGATTAGGGCGTAATTGTAATACAAGTTTTCAGTAAATCATATAAGCTCAAGATAATCAAAACAATGTGTTGTAGATGGTCATGTAAATTTGAAGTTATCACTGGTTTATTGAAAAAAGTTATTTCTCATCCTGTAATATGATATCCACTTCTCCTTTAGGGTTCACAACTTGTGTATGGTCCTTTAAAATAACTAGTGTCATATTTTATTAGTTATATATATACATTATTCTATTCTTGTCAGTGAACTATTTAATCAGTGAATAGAAGCTACATCATTATTGTTTTCAGCATAAATGATAAAGAATCAGTTTTATTAATTTTTGAAACTGATAACTAATTAATAATTTTAAATGGATTGATATTAATATTGACAATTATAATTTATTAAATAGCTTTCTTAAAGCTTTTTAAAATCATCAATTTCTTCTTTGAAATACTGCATTCATGAATAATAAGACTTTCTTAGA